GTGTGTGTGAGTGTGTCAGTGTGTGTGAGTGTGTCAGTGAGTGTGAGTGTGTCAGTGAGTGTGTAAGTCAGTGAATGTGGGATTGATGTCCTGATGTGAAAGGCTGAGATAAGTGTAAGTTGTTGTTGTTGGTGCTGTTGTTGGTGCTGGTGTTGTTGTGATGGTGGTGGTGCTGGTGGTGTTGTTGTTGTTGTTGTTGTTGTTGTGATGGTGGTGGTGCTGGTGGTGTTGTTGTTGGTGTTGTTGTTGGCGCTGGTGTTGTTGTGATGGTGGTGTTGTTGTTTGTGTTGTTGTTGTTGTGATGGTGGTGGTGCTGGTGGTGTTGTTGTTGTGTTGTTGTTGGCGCTGGTGTTGTTGTGATGGTGGTGGTGCTGGTGGTGTTGTTGTTGTGTTGTTGTTGTTGTGATGGTGGTGGTGCTGGTGGTGTTGTTGTTGGTGCTGTTGTTGTTGTTGTTGTTGTTGTGATGGTGGTGGTGCTGGTGGTGTTGTTGTTGGTGTTGTTGTTGGCGCTGGTGTTGTTGTGATGGTGGTGGTGCTGGTGGTGTTGTTGTTGGTGTTGTTGTTGTTGTGATGGTGGTGGTGCTGGTGGTGTTGTTGTTGGTGCTGTTGTTGTTGTTGTTGTTGTGATGGTGGTGGTGCTGGTGGTGTTGTTGTTGGTGTTGTTGTTGGCGCTGGTGTTGTTGTGATGGTGGTGTTGTTGTTGGTGTTGTTGTTGTTGTGATGGTGGTGGTGCTGGTGGTGTTGTTGTTGGTGTTGTTGTTGGCGCTGGTGTTGTTGTGATGGTGGTGGTGCTGGTGGTGTTGTTGTTGGTGTTGTTGTTGTTGTGATGGTGGTGGTGCTGGTGGTGTTGTTGTTGGTGCTGTTGTTGTTGTTGTTGTTGTTGTTGTGATGGTGGTGGTGCTGGTGGTGTTGTTGTTGGTGTTGTTGTTGGCACTGGTGTTGTTGTGATGGTGGTGGTGCTGGTGGTGTTGTTGTTGGTTTTGTTGTTGGTGGTGGTGTTGTTGTTGGTTTTGTTGTTGGTGGTGGTGTTGTTGGTGGTGGTGTTGTTGTTGGTGGTGTTGTTGTGGTGGTGGTGTTGTGGTGGCGTTGTGGTGTTGGTGTTGTTGTTGTTGGTGTTGTTGTTGGTGGTGTTGTTGGTGGTGGTGTTGTTGTTGGTGGTGATGTTGTTGTGGTGGTGGTGTTGTGGTGGTGTTGTGGTGTTGGTGTTGTTGTTGGTGGTGGTGGTGTTGTTGGTGGTGTTGTTGTTGTGGTGGTGTTGTTGTTGGTGGTGGTGGTGTTGTGGTGTTGTTGTTGTGGTGCTGTTGTTGTGTTGGTGTTGTGGTGTTGTTGTTGCATTGGTGTTGTGGTGGTGTTGTTGTTGTGGTGGTGTTGTGGTGTTGTTGTTGTTGTTGTGGTGGTGTTGTTGTGGTGGTGTTGTCGTGGTGTTGTTGTTGAGGTAGTGTTGTTGTGTTATTGTTGTGGTGTTGTTGTGTTGTTGTTGTGGTGTTGTTGTGGTGGTGGTGTTGTGTGTTGTTGTTGTGGTGGTGTTGTTGTTGTTGTGGTGTTGTTGTTGTGGTGGTGTTGTGGTGTTGTTGTTGTTGTTGTGGTGGTGTTGTTGTGGTGGTGTTGTGGTGGTGTTGTTGTTGTTGTGTTGTTGTTGTTGTGGTGGTGTTGTTGTTGTGGTGGTGGTGTTGTTGTTGTGGTGTTGTTGTGGTGTTGTTGTTGTTGTGGTGTTGTTGTGGTGTTGTTGTTGTTGTGGTGGTGTTGTTGTTGTTGTTGTGGTGGTGGTGTTGTTGTGTTGTTGTGGTGTTGTTGTTGTGTTGTTGTTGTGGTGTTGTTGTTGTTGTGGTGTTGTTGTTGTTGTGGTGTTGTTGTTGTTGTGGTGTTGTGTTGTTGTTGTGGTGGTGTTGTTGTTGTTGTGGTGGTGGTGTTGTTGTGGTGGTGGTGGTGTTGTTGTGTTGTTGTTGTGGTGGTGTTGTTGTTGTTGTGTTGTGTTGTTGTGTTGTTGTTGTTGTGGTGTTGTTGTTGTTGTTGTGTTGTTGTTGTGGTGGTGTTGTTGTTGTGTTGTTGTTGTTGTTGTTGTGGTGTTGTTGTTGTGGTGGTGTTGTGGTGGTGTTGTTGTTGTGGTGGTGTTGTTGTTGTGGTGGTGTTGGTGTTGTGGTGTTGTTGTTGTTGTGTTGTGGTGTTGTGTTGTTGTGGTGGTGGTGTTGTTGTTGTTGTGGTGTTGTGGTGTTGTTGTTGTGGTGGTGTTGTGGTGGTGTTGTTGTTGTGGTGGTGTTGTGTTGTGGTGTTGTTGTTGTGGTGGTGTTGTGGTGGTGTTGTTGTTGTGGTGGTGTTGTGGTGGTGTTGTTGTTGTGGTGGTGTTGGTGTTGTGGTGTTGTTGTGGTGTTGTTGTTGTGTTGTTGTTGTGGTGTTGTTGTTGTGGTGTTGTTGTTGTGGTGTTGTTGTTGTGGTGTTGTTGTTGTGTGGTGTTGTTGTTGTGGTGTTGTTGTTGTGGTGTTGTGTTGTTGTGGTGTTGTTGTTGTTGTTGTGGTGTTGTTGTGGTGTTGTTGTTGTGGTGTTGTGTTGGTGGTGTTGTGGTGTTGTTGTTGTGGTGGTGTAGTGGTGTTGTTATTGTGGTGTTGTTGTTGTTGTGGTGGTGTTGTGGTGTTGTTGTTGTGGTGTTGTTGTTGTTGTGGTGTTGTGCTGTTGTGTTGTTGTTGTTGTGGTGTTGTTGTTGTGTTGTTGTTGTGGTGGTGTTGTTGTTGTTGTGTTGTGGTGGTGGTGTCGTGGTGTTGTTGTTGTTGTGGTGGTGTTGTGTTGTTGTTGTTGTGGTGGTGTTGTCGTGGTGTTGTGTTGTTGTGGTGGTGTTGTTGTTGTGTTGTGGTGTTGTTGTTGTTGTGGTGGTGTTGTTGCGGTGTTGGTGTTGTTGTGTTGTTGTGTTGTGGTGTTGTTGTGGTGGTGTTGTTATGGTGTTGTTGTGGTGTTGTTGTTGTGTTGTGTTGTTGTGGTGTTGTGGTGTTGTTGTGGTGTTGTTGTTGTTGTGGTGTTGTTGTTGTTGTGTTGTTGTGGTGTTGTTGTTGTGTTGTGGTGTTGTTGTGGTGTTGTTGTGTTGTGTTGTTGTGGTGTTGTTGTGGTGTTGTTGTGGTGGTGTAGTGGTGGTGTTGTTGTGGTGGTGTTGTTGTTGTTGTTGTGGTGTTGTTGTTGTGTTGTTGTTGTGGTGTTGTTGTTGTGTTGTGGTGTTGTTGTTGTGGTGGTGTTGTTGTGGTGTTGTTGTGGTGTTGTTGTTGTGGTGTTGTGGTGGTGGTGTTGTTGTGGTGTTGTGGTGTTGTTGTTGTGGTGTTGTGGTGTTGTTGTGGTGGTGTTGTGGTGTTGTGGTGTTGTTGTGGTGTTGTTGTTGTGGTGGTGTTGTTGTTGTTGTGGTGTTGTTGTTGTGGTGTTGTTGTGGTGTTGTGGTGTTGTTGTGGTGTTGTTGTTGTGGTGGTGTTGTTGTTGTTGTGGTGTTGTGTTGTTGTGGTGTTGTGGTGTTGTTGTGGTGTTGTTGTTGTTGTGTTGTGTTGTTGTGGTGTTGTTGTGGTGTTGTTGTTGTTGTGTTGTGTTGTGGTGGTGTTGTTGTGGTTGTGTTGTTGTGGTGTTGTGGTGTTGTTGTGGTGTTGTTGTTGTTGTGTTGTGTTGTGGTGGTGTTGTTGTGGTGGTGTTGTTGTTGTGGTGTTGTGTTGTGGTGTTGTGTTGTTGTTGTGGTGGTGTTGTTGTTGTGGTGTTGTTGTTGTGGTGTTGTTGTTGTGTTGGTGTAGTGGTGGTGTTGTTGTTGTGGTGTTGTTGTTGTGGTGTTGTGTTGGTGTTGTGGTGTTGTTGTTGTTGTGGTGTTGTGTTGTTGTTGTGGTGTTGTTGTTGTTGTGGTGGTGTAGTGGTGGTGTTGTTGTTGTTGTGGTGGTGTTGTTGTGTTGGTGTAGTGGTGGTGTTGTTGTTGTGGTGTTGTTGTTGTGGTGGTGTTGTTGTTGTGGTGGTGTTGTTGTTGTGGTGTTGTTGTTGTGGTGGTGTTGTTGTTGTGGTGGTGTTGTTGTTGTGGTGGTGTTGTTGTTGTGGTGTTGTTGTTGTGGTGTTGTGTTGTTGTTGTGGTGTTGTTGTTGTGGTGGTGTTGTTGTTGTGGTGGTGTAGTGGTGGTGTTGTTGTTGTTGTGGTGGTGTTGTTGTGTTGGTGTAGTGGTGGCGTTGTTGTTGTTGTGGTGGTGTTGTTGTGTTGGTGTAGTGGTGGTGTTGTTGTTGTGGTGTTGTTGTTGTGGTGGTGTTGTTGTTGTGGTGGTGTTGTTGTTGTGGTGTTGTTGTTGTGGTGGTGTTGTTGTTGTGGTGGTGTAGTGGTGGTGTTGTTGTTGTTGTGGTGGTGTAGTGGTGTAGTGTTGTGGTGGTGGTGCAGTGGTGGTGGTGTCGGGGCTGCAGTACCGGAGACGGCCTCGGGGGCGGCGCTGTGGGTGTGAGAGAGAGAGAGAGAGACAGAGGGAGAGAGAGCGCCAGGAGCGGCGGGGAGTCAGTGCGCAGGCGCGGCGAGGCCTTTGGTCAGGCGAGTCATGGTGAGCCCCGGACCCCGAGCCCCTGAGCCCTGAGCCCCGCCCGCACTCACACACACACAGCCCCGGGGCCCGGACAGCCCGGACAGCCCGGGGCCGAGCGGGGGCGCCACACCCCCCCACCCCCCACCCCCACCCCCCGGGGAGAGGAGCCGCGGCCCCGGGAAACTTCTGACAACTCATTCCCTTCCCCCCGGGGGACAGGGACAGGGGGAGAGGGGGATAGAGAGAGGGGACGGGGGGAAGGGAGAGGGGGGAGAGAGAGAGAGAGAGGGAGCCGGGGAACGCAAATACGCAGCCAATTCACCGCGAAAGCACTTGTGAGAAGCCTCAAGGACGCGATCAGGTGCTACAGCGATTGCAAATAATCCGTGTTGTTAATAATGATTAAGAGATTAGCTTCCCAAAAGAGGGAATTAGATAAACACCTAAAGAAGGAGTAATCTACGGGAGTGTTGGGGGAGAGGGGGGAGTGGGAAAGGCTGGTACAAATGGCATTGAAAAGAGCCAACACGGACACGATGGCCACCCTTCTGTGCTGTAAATGTCTCCGGTTCGGTGGGTTGGGTCGGGTTGGCAGTCGAGACTGAGCTGTAGCTGTGAACGTCTCTCGTAGGATAAGAAGAAGAAGTATGAGCCGCCTGTGCCAACGAGAGTCGGAAAGAAAAAGAAGAAAACCAAAGGGCCGGACGCTGCCAGCAAATTGCCCTTAGGTAAGGCTTTCCACTTCGGTCCGTGCTGAGCGACCGCTGTCATGTGAGGGAACCTGTTTACCAGTCACTTGCTCCGTATCCGCCCTGTTGAATCCCTTCAGCATTTTAAACACCTCAATCGGATCAGGCCTCAGCCTTCTCAGCTCGAGAGAATTTAGTTAATTTTAATTGAATTTAGGTAACTCCGGTCACCTCCCTCCGGCTGGGCATCGTGCTACTGTCACGCGCTCTGGGACGCAACCCTGCTTGAGGGGCGCTGTGTAAATGCGAGCTGCTGCTGCTGCTGTTGTTGTTGTTTACCTTTAGTTTAGGATTTAGTCTCCCTGAGCCTCCTAACTGTGTTTCACTCCGCGCTCTTGCCAGTCACTCCTCACACCCAGTGCCGACTCAAGCTGCTCAAGCTGGAGAGAATAAAGGATTACCTGTTAATGGAAGAGGAATTCATCAGAAACCAGGAACAGATGAAACCGCTCGAAGAAAAGCAAGAGGTACAGTCCGTGCGGGAGGAAGGCTGGGTGTTCAAACACGTGACTCCAGAGTTAACTGTGTAAGACAGACACTTGGTGGGCGGGGGGTGGGGGGTGGGTGGAGGTGAGGACTCCGTGGCTGGCTGTGTGGGGGGGGGTTTCATGGCTGGCTGCCCCCTCCCCTGTCTCGACATCAGGTTCCGTCACTGTCAAGCGCTCTTGAGACATTGCCCTGAGAGAGGGATACTATATAAATGCAAGTTGTTGTTGCTCCCTATGTTGGCTGGGGGGGGAAAGAATGAATATTTTGAATAATGGAGCGCGGATACACAGTCACTTCACTTGCCAGTAATTCTTGCGAAGCACATGACAAGGAACTGTGTCAAATGTAAGGGTTATGTTATAAGGCACTGCTAATAATGCGTGTGTATACATATATATATATAAAATAATCCTTGCATTTGATATAGCGCCTTCTCACATCTTTGAGCCGTCTCTCAAAGCGCTTCACGGAATATATTATAAAGTGGGTTGACTGTAGTTTGCGGTCAAAACGCAGGAGCTAATGGTGCGCAATAGCGTTCCCACAAACAGTCGTGGGTTGAGCTGTGGATTCCACCAGCCAACGCAGGGAACTGGTGTTAGTTGTCTGATGTTGCGACACTCGCTGCCCTCGCTTTCACGGTGCAGGAGGAGAGATCGAAAGTGGACGACCTGAGAGGGACCCCGATGTCGGTGGGAACCCTGGAGGAGATCATCGACGACAACCACGCCATCGTCTCCACGTCCGTGGGCTCGGAGCACTACGTCAGCATCTTGTCGTTTGTGGATAAGGACCTGCTGGAGCCTGGCTGCTCTGTCCTCCTTAACCACAAGGTGAGTCAGGGGGAAGCTGGCCAGAGGTGCCTCTACACCCTGCGCAAAGTTAATCTGGGCCTCTCAGAGCTGCAGCGTGGCTCAAGGTGGTGTGCGTGATTCGTAATCGCTGTGGGTGACCCACTGCGGAGCTGTTTGGGATGCTCCAGGAGCGGGCTACGTGAACACAAGTTGTTGTTGTTGTTTGCGGCACGCTGCTGGCACGTTCACCTGCAGCAGCGATGGACAACCTGTGGCCCGCGGGCCGGAAGCGGCTCGCGGAGCCGTCAAGAAGCACGCACCCACCCACCCGCCCGCACAACCCCCCCACCACCACCTCCCCTCACGCACACACACACATTACACCTAAGATTCGCACACGTCGAGGTTCGTCCATGTTCGAGCGGTGGGTGTGCTTTTAATTTTTTTTTCTTCATTGAATATTTTTGATTTGCGGCACAAATCAAGAAATATTCAGTCAAGAAAATCGATGCTGTTAGCCGACCATAAAGGTTGGTTGGCTACCTCTGCCCCACAGCGCGCACGGTCACTGCAGTTTGAGACGGTTTGAGTTCGAAGCATTTGAGACAGCTCGACAGCGACCACATCGATTATTGTTATTATTGATGACGTCTGTGTGTTTGTGTCTAATGTTGTTTCCGAGCCTGGGTTGACCTGTGTGTGTTTGCTGGCCCCGTGTGTTAGGTCCACGCTGTTATTGGGGTACTCACAGACGACACAGACCCTCTGGTGACAGTGATGAAGGTGGAGAAAGCGCCACAGGAGACGTACGCTGACATTGGGGGTCTGGACAATCAGATCCAGGAAATCAAGGTGCGCAAATGCCTCTTTGGCGATTAACTCCTTCTATCCCGATGAGGTAACGCTCCCAGCGCTGGCCTGGAGCTTTGGCCGAAACCAGCAGAGATGGTTAAACAGTTTCAGGATCAACTGTAGCTGAGCCTCGGTCAGACTGGAGTTCTGCGTTCAGTTTCAGGCACCGCATCTCAGGAAGGATATGTTGACCCTGGAGGACAGATTCACCAGAACGATATCAGGGCTTAAAGGGTTAAATTATGAGGACATGTTGGACTTGTGGAAGCCTGTAGCTCAGTGGTGAGAGATTTGGGTTTGATTCCCGACAGGCAAAATGTTGGGCAATAGGAACCCGGTTGTTAGTCAATTGGCGGATCACATTTCGGGGGTAATAATTCCTTCAAAAAAAATGGAGATAATAATTAAATTGGTCACTTCAATCCAATGAATGAAGTTTGTGGGACGCTGCTGTGCGCAATCGGCTGCCATGACTGACCCACAAACCATCCAGTCAATTCACTTTACAGTATATTCTGTGAAGCGCTTTGGGATGTCTCAAAGACGTGATAAGGCGCTGTATCAACGCAAGGATTATTATTACTATAAAGTATTCCCTTGAATTTCAAAGGTTGAGGGGTGATCTGATTGAGGTTTTTAAAATAATGAAGGGATTCGATAAGGTAGCTACGGAGAAACGGTTTCCTCCGGTGGTGGGGGAATCAACAATGAGGTGGATAATGTTCCATGGATCCTTACAGCACAAAAGGAGACCATTCGGCCCATCGTGCGTGTGCCAGCTCTTTGAAAGAGCTACCAACTAGTTCCGCTCCCCCGCTCTCTCCCCATAGCCTTGTATTTTTTTTACTTGTCAAGTAACTCTCCAATTCCCTTTTGAAAGTTATTATTGGATCTGCTTCCACCTCCCTTTGAAGTAGTTCCAGACTGTAACAACTCTGCGCGTAAAAAAAATATATATGTATATATCACCTCATCTCTCCTCTGGTTCTTTTGCTAATTATCTTAAATCTGTGTCCCCTAGTTACCGGCCGACCCGCCAGTGGAAACAGTTTCTCCTCGTTTACTCTATTATTTTAGTGATTCAGAGTCATCAGTGAATCTGATCGAGTATTACCTTTGAAGGTGGTCATGGGATTGTGGATATGCTTTAGGAGCTGCTTTCCTTTTAAGAACCGCGGAAAACTGGCTTCCGAATTAAAGAGATCGGATTGAAGAACTTTCCACAATTCAGCTCCACTTTAAATTTTAAGGCAAAATGGCGGCACGGGCTGAGAGTAGGTGGAATTGAGTGTAACCCTGACCTTCTGTCTCAGTTGGCACCTTATTTAGCTCCAGCGAACGCTATGTTGTGGGAAGTGTTTGTGAGAATGATTGAACCCTGTAATGAAGTGTTCTTACTTCATACCTTTTATGTAATGTGCAGATTCTATATTGCTTCCCAATAATTACCATGTTTTCTCTTCCTCGCAGGAATCTGTGGAACTCCCGCTCACCCATCCCGAATATTATGAGGAAATGGGAATTAAACCTCCCAAAGGTGTTATTTTGTATGGAGCGCCTGGCACAGGTAAAAGGGCCATAGTCTTATTCAGTACGCATACTCACCAGCACTAAACTCCATAACCCCATCACGCCAGTCCTCGCCAGGCTCCACTGGCTCCCAAACGGATCGATTTCAAGATCCTTTCGCTCGTTTTCAAACGGCACCTCCCTCCCCCTCCAACCTGCTCACTCCCTAAACCCACTACCCACACTGTCTCCGCTCGACCATCTCCGGCCTTCTGCATGTCCTTCGTGCCCTCCATTCCACCATGGGCGGCCGTGCTTTCAACCACCGCGCCCCGAAACTCTGGAACGCTCTCCCTCTATCCCTCCCCCTTGCCCCTTCCTTCCCCCATCTTCAGATTGCGCCTGAAGACCTTCCTGTTCGACCGTGGCTACAGTCACCTTCCCCTGGCTCGGGGTCCTGCTCCGCCAGCGTCAAGCGCTCTGGGAAGCTACCCTGCAATATATAAATGCCAGTCGTCGTTATTGTCCATTGGGTGCCACCAGAGAAGACAGCAGTGTTGAGGACTCCTGTGCAGAGGGAGTCTGCTCTTGCCGGCTTTACCAGGCACTGGTTGAAGTTGATCTGAAAGTTGTCGTTTGTGGATGTTGATGCCTTGTTCCTCTTGACCGACAGGCAAGACCCTCTTGGCCAAAGCAGTAGCCAACCAGACCTCGGCCACCTTCCTGCGTGTGGTGGGCTCCGAACTCATTCAGAAATACCTGGGGGACGGCCCCAAGCTGGTGCGGGAGCTGTTCAGGGTGGCTGAGGAGCACGCCCCCTCCATCGTCTTCATCGATGAGATTGATGCCATCGGTACAAAAAGGTAGGGTAGCAGCGAGTCAGGCCCTGGGCGGGGGTTGGGGGGAAGGAGGGGCAATGCCAGTTTCATGTGAAGAAAGGCGGCAGTGGAGCCCGGGAGCTCATCCAGCCATTGTTCGACCAGCTTTGTTGCCTCGTGTTAAGAAGCTTTGGTCGGTTCCGTCAGGGAAGCGCTCCCGGGGCCCTGCCAGTCAGTGTGTCAGTGCATTTTAGTTATGTTTAGTTCCCCCCCCACCCTCACTCCCAACTGCTGACCAAGTAACGAGTGGGTCTGTGAATGAAGAAAGGCCGGGAGAGGTTGTGCGAGGTTCTGGGTGAGCTCCTGGGCACCGCTGCCCCTTTTCTTCCTGTGAAATAGTGAGCGTTGGGTCAGCCCGGCTCGGCCCCCGCCGCTGCTGAGACACCATTTCGCAAAGCTCCGATCGTTGGGTTGCGTTTAAATGAACCACCGAATCCCGAGTCAGAAAAGCAACGGCAAACAAGTGGAGCAAGAAAGCCGGATGGTCAGTCGCGGTGTGCAGAGATCTCGTGACGCCAGTGTTGGTGATGCTCGGGGTTCAGTGAAAGACTCTGTATAAATGCAAGCCCGTGTTCCTCTGTATAAACACCCCCCCCACCCACCCACACACACATACACCCCCGGCAATAATAATAATCCTTGCATTTGATACAGGGCCTCCGCTATCTCCTAAGACGTCTGGAATCACTTCCCAGAATATACTGTAAAGTGTAGTGACTGTATGTTTTGCGGGCAAAACGCGGCAGCTAGTTGCGCACAGCAGCGTCCCCACAAACAGTCATGGCTTGAGTGACCCAAATTTTTGAAGGGACTATTAGCCCTTGGAGAAAGCGATCGGCCAATATCAATGGCTGTTATTTTGTTTCAGGTACGATTCCAATTCAGGCGGAGAGAGAGAGATCCAGAGGACGATGCTGGAGCTCCTGAACCAGTTGGACGGGTTTGACTCGCGAGGCGACGTGAAAGTCATCATGGCCACAAACCGTATCGAAACGCTGGACCCAGCTCTCATCAGGCCAGGTGAGGGCACAGCGACGAGAGATCACAGCCTTCACTCCAGCTCCGTTAGCGGGGAACTCACACCCGGGCCACACACTGTGAAACACACCCACAGAAATGCACAGCCCAGCAGGAGAATACTGAGCCACGCCGTTCGTGTGGCCATTTGCTCCTCCTAAAAACAGCTTGCAATTATATAGCGCCTTCACACAGGGTGTCATCCAGAATCTCTCCCCCCCCCCCCCCCCCCCCCCCCCCCCCCCACCCACCCCTCTCCCCCTCTCTTTATCTATCTATCTCCCTCCCTAACACCATCTGTTCCAATCCCAAATCTTTGCTCTTTTCCCCCCCTATTTGCTGCTCCCCTTTCCTCCACAGGTGTCTTGTCTGATTCCTTCATAAATACTCCGATCCTCTCTGCTCCAATAGTCTCCTCTCTCTCTCCGCACTCCTCGTCAAAACCCCAGAACAATTTTTCCCCTTTCCCGCTCCCGAGTTGTAATCTTCATCTGATGCCCTCGTTCTCAAATCACTCACGAGCAGAAAGAGTTCCATCCAGATCCTCCACGCAGATCAGTTACTGTGCAACGGCTGCCAAGTTTGCCTATGAATTTACTCGTCAGTAGTTCCCTGCAAAGCTCTTTGAGGCTGGATCCAGGTGGTATAATAATAATAAGTCGTATTTGATACAGTGTCTTATATCTTCCAGACGTCTCAAAGTGCTTCACAAAATATACTGTAACGTGAATTGACTGTTTATTTTGTGGGCGAAACGCGGCAGCCAACTGCGCACAGCAGCGTCCCCACAAACAGTCGTGGATTGAGTGACCAAATGATTATTTCCCCCGGAAAATAAATTCCTACTAACTGCTGGGTAAACAGAGGCGTGTGTGTGCGTGCAGCAGGACAGTGTAGGCGCAAGTATCGAGTGCAAGACTTTACTGTTCTTACTGAGATGTGTCGTCACAGGGAGAATTGACCGTAAGATCGAGTTCCCTCTGCCGGACGACAAGACGAAGCGGCGGATTTTCCAGATCCACACGACCCGGATGACGGTGGCGCTAGACGTGAATCTGGACGACCTGATTCTGGCCAAAGACGATCTGTCTGGAGCGGACATTAAGGTGAGCGCCACACCGTAGGCCTGGTCCACATCAGGCAGCCGGAGCTCAATGGAAGCACCATCTCTAGAATATCTCAAAGGGGAAGCGTGGGAGGGCAGGGAAGGGAGGGAGATCTTCTACCTCTCACTCCCATCCTCACCTGGATCTACCTGACTCCCCATCCCCCAGAGGACAGAGCTCAAAATCCTCGTTCTCGCTTTCCAAGCTCTCCGCGGCCTCGCTCCTCCCCACCTCTGAGACCTGCTAAGTCCTTACACACCTGGGATGGAGGATTATCGCTCTTGCGATGTCAGTGGGGGGGGGGGGGGGGAATCCCTCACGTGACGTGTGTCCTCTGGTTTCCAGGCGATCTGCACAGAAGCTGGGCTGATGGCACTGCGTGAGCGCAGAATGAAGGTGACAAACGAAGACTTCAAGAAGTCGAAAGAAAATGTTCTGTACAAAAAGCAGGAGGGAACACCTGAGGGCCTGTACCTCTGATTACCGCAGCAACAGCACAACCACCTCCTCTTTCCCCTCCTCTCTCCCCCCTCCCTTTCTCCTCTCTTCCTCCTCCCTTTCTCCTCTCTTTCCCCTCTCTCCTCCCCCTTCTTTTCTCTCCGCCCCCCCCCTCCTCCTCTTACCCTTCCCTTGAGATATCACAAAAGGATTCAAGCTCCAGTTTCAATGTGGAGTATGTTGGATAGTTTGAAATGTAATCCTTGTGAGTGTGTGCGCGTGTACACAATATGCAGCAGCTGTGAGTAAATACTCTGTGTACATCGCATCTTGAATAAAGTATACTGGACGTGTTTTGAAATGTTCTGTGGCAGTTCCTTTCATTCTGTCGATATGTCTAAAAAAGATGTGGTGCTTTTATCTCACACGGCAGGACAAGAATACCACCAGAGCTGGCATTTACATCACGCCTTTTATGCAACAGAAACATCTCGAAGCAGGTTACAGAACAGGACTAATTTGAAGAGTCCTGTAGCGCAGTGGCTAGAGAGCTGGCCTCGCAAGCGAGAGGACCCAGTTTCAAAACAGTAGGCAAGTTTTCTTGCTCCACACCCCTCGGTTTACCTCGTAGTAAGTAGGAACCAAGTTGTTTGTTGATCGACAGATTGCTTTCCGGGGTTAATGAAATTGGTCACTCAGAACTAATGCCATGTTTATTTGTAATAAGAGAGTCTCACTGTGCTGATGGTTAGCCTCTGGGAGCCCAGAGCGAGGGGAGACGCTTGTCTCGACAGCTGTAAGGCTTTGAACGTAGCTTCCTGGGTACCTGTGGGATCAGCCACACAGCGAGCAGGGGGCTGGGGGCGGGGGGGCACTTTCGATTTGAAGAGTAGAGGGAAGTTTTGCTCAGCATCTGAGCAGGGAAAAAGGGTTGAATATTTCGACTGGGAACGTATTCCAAATCTCTCACCTTAATTGGAAAAAAATCTTTACAAGAGGCACGTCAGATCCGGGTGACGAAGGAACCTCAGGATTACTTACTCGTTTTGTCACAAACAAAATTGTTGGTTTCTGTCTCTGTGAGAGTAATAATAAGAATAATCCTTGCATTTGATATAGCGCTTTATGTCTTTGAGACGTCTCAAAGCAAACACGGCAGTCAATTGTGCACAGCCATGGATTGAGTGACCAAATTATTTTTTATATAAAAATTTGAAGGGATTATTACTCCTGTAAAAGCGATCCGCCAATCAGCTAACAACCGGGTTCCAATTTACTGCTAAATAAACAGGTGTGTGGAGTAAGGAAATTGCCTAATGATTCACCAGCCAGGAATCGAACCCAGGTCCTCTCGCTTGCGAGGCGAGTGCTCTGACCACTACGCTACAAGACTTGGAGTGACTTAGTCGGAGCGACGGCCGTGCTCAGAGTGTAATGAGATTGTAGAGCTCCAACACAGACATGGGCTGCTGAAATGACTAAGCTCTACGATCAGTAAACGCTGACACGGAGGGAGCTCACTGAATCGGGACTGCGGTGACATGTGGGATCATCGCTGGGTTTACAAGTGGGAATCACTATAAAGAAGCCGTTCGTATGAGCATCTCATCCCAGCCTGTCACACACAACACAAGGAAACGGGACTCACACTGATAGCAGTCAACAGTCAGATTGTATAGACGATATAGAGATGCTCACTGTTAATATCAGATGACATCGATGTGTCAGCAACTAGAATGCAAGCTCACAAAAGGCCAATGGGATATGTCCAGTGTTATATTTATTACAAAATAAATATTTTCAGATTTCTTTACAAAAAATTGGGTGAAACTGATGGTTACGTTTTCTTTCTCTGAGCAGCACGGTGCTGAGGTACCATACATTCCCTGAAAGAGTTAACAGTATTCGCTGGAAACTCTCAGCAAGTCAGGCAGCATCTGCGGAGAGAGGACCAACGACTTGAGGTCATTAACTCACATTCCTCTCTCCATAGATGCTGCCTGACCTGCAGTATTTTGCCGTTAGTTAACGTGTCCTTTTCCAGGCTCCTGTGGAACAGAGGGTTGAGGCTGAGAAGTGAGCATTGGCCAGGGTTCCGGCTGCACACTGTGTGACAGAACGGTGGGAGCTGTAGCAGTACGGTGCACTCCTTCAGTCACACAGCAGGCAGACAGAGAGCACCTAAGCACCCAGTTCTTTGGTAGGAGTCCTCTCCTTGCTCCTGGCCATCCTCTTGGTGGGTCAGGCATCCGCCTCCTGATGGTATAATGGATAAAGGTAGCTCTTGGTGTCAAGAGCCTGGGGATGGCTGTCCTCGCTTTAGTGAGAGAGAGATTGGGCTTCCCACTCCTGACCACTGTCCAGCCGGGTGGAGAGAGGATGTCCGCACAGTCCCAATACTTGTCAACAAACACTCGTATGAAGAACAGCCTCGGGAGTCCTGGGAGGAGGGAGTTGTACATCCTCAGGGGAGGGCGAGAGCGAGACGCTGGGCGGGCTGAGTAAAACAAAAAGCACGGGCTTAATCAGAAACACGGTGTCTCTTGTTTCTCTCACTGAAATAAACGGAGGTGCATTACAACAACTTGCATTTATAAAGAGCGCGTCATACGGGGTAGCGACCCTGAGCGCCCGACAGTGGCAGAGTCTGAGCCCAAACCGGAGCAAAGGGAGGGACGGAGAGGGAGGAAGGGAAAGGGAGGGAGCAAGGCGGAGGGATTGAGGGGGAGAGTTCCAGAGTTTGGGGACGTTACTTCATTGTTTCAACACCTTACGTCAGCTCCTGCCAAGCTGCCCCCTCCCTCTCTCAATCCAGAGAGAGAGAGAGAGAGCGGGAGGGCTGCGGTGGGCTGCTGTCGAGCGCTTGCGGAGGTTGCTGACGGCTCAGGTTGTGAAGTGTTACCTTTACTGACAGCTGAGTCGAGCTTCAGTTTCAGGAGGAATTTCATCTTCTTCCAGCAGGATCTCCAGCTCCTCGATGGGCACCCGAACCCGGATCTCTTTCTCCGTCATCAGGTCAACAATCTCCTGCAGCTGCTCCGGGAAGTACTCGATGGCGTCCAGATACAGAACCTGATGCGGCCCACAAAACACACAGTCACTACACTCGGCAGCGTGAAACGCTTTGAGACGTCTCATTGATGTGATAAGGCGCTACGTTCATCAAATGCAAGAATTATTATTAATCCCACAAGACTGCGCAAAAGGTTTTCCTCCTGGGCAACTTCAAATAAGTCAGCCATTAAACTTATGGCTGCTTGTGAGATCTTGGCTGGTATCAATGGCGGCTGCGCTGGTCTACAAACAACAACAACTTGGATTTATATAGCGCTCTCCACGCCGGACGGCGTCTCAGAGCACTACACCCGTACACCTGTGAAGTGCTTTTTTAGAAGAGTTCGCTCTCGTGGACAGAGGCTACAAGGCTGAGGGTACAATGGCTGCTAACCTTGGCCCATGGACAGGCTTGCAGTGCTCTGTAAAACACTCCCTTACTTCGCTCAGCATTCCCTTGGGTAACCTGGACAACGGAAAAGTAAAATTAGCAATGAATAGCGCAGTTAAAATATTTGTGTTGAACAGTTAAGCTGCTGCACGTCCCCCGCCTCGCCCGTCCCATCATTGGCGAGCGGGCCTTCTGCCGCTCTGCCCCCACCCTCTGGGACTCCATCCCTCCGCCTCGCCCCCTCCCTTGCCTCCTTCAAAGCCCATCTCAAGACACCCCTCTTCGACCGTGCCTTCGGTCACCCTCCTTCCCCCTCTGCCCTCCACGATCCTCAGCTTGGGTCAGAAACGCTTTGACTATTAATGGTAACTTAGCCTGTCATCCCTCCTCATCAAAATCAGCCCCCAAAATTCTAACTAATTGGCTGCTGATCGTGTGTAGTGGGACATCGCTTGCGAAGAATTCACCCCTAGAAAACTTCTGTCTGTAAAGTGCTTCAAGGAGCTTCTTTTATGTTAAAGGCACCGAGACTGTAAAGTGTAGTGAAATACACTTGAATGTTCTGGGTGTATGTCATAGAATCATAGAATATTACAGGACAGAAGGAGGCCAGTCAGCCCATCGTGCTCTTTGGAAGAGCTGCCCAATCGGTTCCACTCCCCCCGCTCTTTCCCCATAATCCTTGCAAATTTTTCCTCTTTAAGTGCTTATCCAATTCTCTTTTGAAAGCTGTTGTTGCATCTGCTTCCACCAGTCTTTCAAAGCCCATCTTAAGACACCTCTTTGACCGTTCCAGACTGCAATAACTCTTTCTCATCTCCCCACTGGTGCTTTTGCCAATTATCTTAAATCTATGAGCCCTGGTTACCGACCCACCTGCAGTGGAAACAGTTTCTCCGTCTACTCTACCGAAACCCCTCATAACGATTAATTCTCCCCTCCACCTTCTCTGATCTAAGGAGAACAATCCCAGCTTTCCTGGTCTCTCCACATAGCTAAAGTCCCTCCTCCCTGGTAGCAGAGCTGTCTCGTCTTACCATGAACCGCAGATACATCCTCCACAGTAACACACAGTGCGCCCCGCTTTCGCTGTGCAGGCCGTGTTCGAACAGTGTCCTGATGCGATTGGCCAGGCCAGTCTCGGGGAGCGTAGTATGTATCAGTCCCACGTCCACCCTTGGTACAGAAACAGAGTACGTTTAGACCTGGGGGGGTGGGGGGACGACTTCTCCCTACTCAGGTATGTGTTGCTCTTATAAAAATTATCATCGTCATCATAATAATAATAATCCTTGCATTTGATGCAGCGCCTGATCCCGTCTTTGAGACGGCTCAAAGAGCTTCACTGGATACACCGTGAAGTGTAGTGACTGTGTATTTTGAGGGTGAAACGCGGCAGCGTCCCCCCACTGAGGTTTCACCACACCCCCACCCCCACCAACCCCCCTCCCGGGAATCGAACCCTTACCTCTGCACACAATCCACCAGCGCTTTCCTCCTCTCCTCCGCGTAGATTGCGAACAGCCAGGGCAGGATCAGGCCCTTGGCCGCCCGGGCCGTGCTGTCGAAGAACCTCCGAGCCCGGCTAGCGCTGTGCGACCGGTTCTCCGCCTGCGCGTACAGCCTCCATAGGCCGGCGTTGGAGGGATCCCTCCGCAGGGCGCCCGTCAGCACGTTTCGGAGGGGGCCGAGCGGGTGCACGCTCACCTGCATGTTGTAGCGGAGCAGTCCGGCGTGAAACGTGCTCATCCGCCCCAGCTCGGAGGTGGCCCACTGCCGGCCCTGGGCGCTCGCCCTGCCCGAGGGCGGGGGCGGGAGACTCTGGGCGGCGCGGCTGTACAGTGCCTCCGCCCCCTGGACGCCCACAGTCAGGTACTGGAAGAGCGCGTAACAGCCCGAGAGGTTCGCCAGTCTCTGCGGCCCTGGCTTGCAGGGAGAGGCCGTGCCCGAGGCCGTGCCCGAGGCCGTCAGGCATTCCCGAAACGACTGCTCAAAGGCTTTCCTGGCTTTCAGCACGCCGACGGGCGAGACATCTCCGGGGTAAGGGGCGTAGTTGCTGCCCTCGGCCAGTTTGGTCAGTATGTAAACCGTGCGACACGAGGCAGCCCCATCCAGACCGCCCATCAGCTCCAGTTCCAGGGCGGCGTACAGCAAGCACAGACCACACAGCGGGGAGCTCTGCAGGCCCTGGCTGACCGCCGTGGCCAACGCGGCGTCGAACACCTTGCGGGAATCCTCCACGTTGCCCAGCAGCCATTCCAGGTGGGCGTACTCCTTCCACAGGGCCAGGTCACTCCTGTTCTCAGTCTCCTTCAGCAGCCTCCTGGCCAGCCTCCTGCTCTTCCTCCCCTGGGACCGCAGCTTCTTGCTGCTGCCCCGTAGGCACCGAGTCACCTGAGGCAGGACGACAAGCAACAAGGTCGGCATTACAACATGGGCTGCATTTCTCAAAAGAAAAATTAGCCTCAACGTTCAAGTTTACGGCATTGTCATTACTCGGGGGCTTCAGACTTCTCCCCTCCTCTTCATTGAAAGCATCAAACTTCTTCTATACGGAGTTAGATGTGTCTGGAATCCTGTTCCTAGCACTTCAACAATAAAAAAAGGTCCTTCAATCCATGACTGTTTACGGGACGCTGCTGTGTGCAATTAGCTTCTGTGTTTCGCCCACAAAATACACAGTCAATCCACTTTCCAGTATATTAAGTGAATTAGATGCTGTATCAAACGCAAGGATTATTATTATTCACAAATAATGTGGATTTGCAGACTCGATGCAAGGCGACATTAAACCAGTGGGGGGTGAGGGGGGAACTCGAAATCAGCTGTCACGAAGGCTATACTGGTCGAGAAACTGGGCTGATCAATAGCAAATTAAGTTTAATGCAGATTAATGCAAATACTACATAGAGGTAGTGTAGATAAAGACAAAGTGGACCATGTTTTAAGCAGTCCTCAGTCATCACCCTCAATGTCCTTGCGGTGAGATTTAACTGGACAAATAGGAGGCTAGAAAGAGTACCTTGGCCCTCTCGTACTGCAGCCAGCTCAGTGTGAGTTCTGACTGCTCTTCCGCTGTGAAGAGAGGTAAGGCTTGGTGGAACGCTGTCTGGATGAAGTCCTCCCCTTCCTTGTAGCGTGCGATCGGCTTCTTCTGATAGGCCACGGTGCCCATTGAACCCACCGCGCTCACCCCAGAGGCCTGCAAGTCCAGTGAGGTCAAGGGCCTTTCCCCAGGAGTCTCGCTGCCGAACACAGACAGTTCGTCCAGTGTAACGTTCAGGCAGGAGGCCGGGAGGCTGAATCCCATGGGAACGCCCAGGAACTGGAAAAAGGAAGTCATCAGCCGGAATCTGAGCTCTGGAGTTGAAATTTTAAACATGGACGTGCCAATGTCATCAAACAGGACCTGTGTCATAGAAGGAAAACGTTATAGGTTTATTAATAATAATAATAATAATCCTTGCCACTAAACAAAGCATAAATATAAATTGAGAACATTTGATGGAATTCCTGGGACACCCTCCCACCTTCGTTTTATGCACTTTTATAGGCATAATTGTACAGGTAGAGAGTCCTGTAGCTTTGAGCACAAGTCTTTCAAGCGAGAGGACATGGGTTCATTCCCAGGTTAGTCGATTGGCAGATCGATTTTCCAAGGGGTAATAATCGCTTCACAAAACAAGGTCACTCAATCCACGACTGTTTGTGGGACCCTGCCGTGAGAAACTGTGTTTCGCGCACATCATATAGTCAATTCACTTTACAATGTATTCTGTGAAGCGCTTTGGGATGTCTCGAAGATGTGATAATGCGCTATAACAAATGGAAGGATTATTATTATAATATGTAGCCTGCAGTTTTGTGGCGAGCCACTAAATGGCTCTGTTCCCCCACAGTTCCTACATATGAAGCACAATGCAGTACTTACCTAATCAGCCTGTGCACAGCGCAGGAGAACAGGTCTTTCATCTCCTCACATTACATAATGAATTACATTTACACCGTGGATCAAATGACCACAGTTGAGGCCAATAAAAGGCACATCAAAACCTTTTTGTATAAACCTCTGGTTGTTTTGAAGGTATTGTATTCATTAGGGGCTTCAATGGATCACCAAATCATGGAACGTTACCACACAGAACAACTACGACTATTAATTAGGTTTGTAAGTCAGGAGGATGTCTCAAGGCGCTGGTCATTTAACCACTGGCGCTCTGGGATGCTATCCTTCCTGAGGGACGCTATATAAACAAGTTGTTGTTTGCTCCAGCACGAGCCAGTTAACCCGTAGGTTAATTTATTTTTGGATAGCGCCGTTCACGTCGGGAGGACATCCCTCCTAGCAGTAAGCGGGTAAGTAGATGACACGAAAACACAACACACGCTCGCAACTTGGTGACTTTCGAAACCAACTGGCATCTCTGCGGCCAGGCTAGCAGTTTCTGCGCGAGGTCAGGTTCCGTGTAAGAGCAGTTAAGATTCGCAGCGTGACTCTATCTACACTACGGGCTTTCTGGAGGGGACGCTGTGATATCCTGGTTTGTTGCACTGATGCCCTGTCATCGGCTGCTCTTCCCCGGGTCTTTTTTTTTTGAAAGTTAGCCGGGTGTCTGATACATGCAGAAACCAATCACCAACTAAAGAGCATTCCAACCAAACTGGCTTCTATGTACCCGGGTGCTTTGCCCATCAATCGTCACCCTGTACCTTTCTGTCTTCCCACACAGCTATGTAGGCTTGCACCTGCCTACATACAGCACACAGTCATTGTGCTTCGCAGCAACTCAGGATACACTCGAGAGCAATTCCATGTTTCAAATGCGAGAAATAGCGTTATGCAATATTTGTAATTTATAGGCTAATCATGTTGTGGAGTCCTGTAGCTCAGCAGTTAGAGCACTCGCCTCGCAAACCGAGGGGACCTGGGTTTGATTCTCAGGCAGGGGGAGAAACATTAGGCAAGTTTCATTGCTCCACGCACCTCTGTTTACCTAGCACTAAGTAGGAACCATTTGTTAAGTCGATTGGCGGATCGCTTTTCTGGGGTTAATAAGCCCTTCAACAAAAAATAATCATTTGGTCACTCAATCCATGACTGTCTGTGGGACGCTGCTGTGTGCAATTGGCTGCCGTGTTTCGCCCACAAAAGATAGTCATTTCATTTTACAGTATATTCTGTGAAGCGCTTTGAGACATCTCAAAGACATCATAAGGCGCTGTATCAAATGCAAGTATTATTATTAGAGTTGGATGAAGATTTGTTCCCCGATTCCTCAGCTATTCACCAGAGGCTTATTCAGTGTGTGAGCAGACAAGTCAACCAGCTTCTCCTGCACTGCACTCCAGGATGGATTATGAGATGCAGAGCAAGACCTATCTGTATTCTAGCTTTACAGCTCAGTTGGGTCAGAAAGGAAGGTCAAATTTACCCCTGTGTTTGATCAATTATATTATTCAATCACCTCACGCCTGTGTGTGGCACTTTGCTGCTGCGTTCTGTCCACAAAAACAGTCATTACATTTGAGATAATAATAAAGCATTTTGCGACACTTTAATGTGATACTGCACAATAACAATGTGATTCTCTCTCTCTCTCTCTCTCTCGTTCTCTCTCTCAAGGAAAATGTCAGTTTTACTCCTACAATCTGACTGTTACTCACCTCTCAAAGGCATACGCTGAGGCTTTGTAAGCGTACCTGTCTGTCAGGATCATCGCATTCCTCTTCAGCCTTACCTTTGGCCTCTTCGGCTCGCCACGGTAACCAGTGCTTGGCGTCACGGGAACTCTCGACCTGCAGCCAAACCTGCCACTTGGGCAGCGACTTGTCCTTCACTTCATCACCAACCTCATCTTCCTCATCCTCGTCACCTGCACCAAAGCCAACCACGCGTTAGTCGTCCTAGAACTGCAAATAAGCCACGTCTAACACCTGAAAGCCCGTCATCCTCAAGCTGAGTGCCGGATATCCGTTCGTAAATACTCTTTAATGATAATAATCCTTGCATTTGATATAGCGCCTCATCACGTCTTCGAGACGTCCCTGAGCGCCTCACAGAATATACTGTAAAGTGTAGTGACTATGTGTTTTGTGGGCAGCCAATTGCGCACAGCAGTGACCCACAAACAGCCATGGATTGGGTGACCGAATTATTTATTTTTAAGGGATTATTACCCCGGAAAAGCCATCCGCCAATCGACTAAAAAGCGGGTTCCTACTTACCGCTAGGAGACAGGGGCGTAATTGTGGAGTAAGGAAACTTGCCCAACGTCTCGCCCTGCCCGACGAAACGTTGGGCAAACACAATCGCTGACTTAGAGGCCAACCTGCTGGAAGCAATTTTGCGAGAAGGACTCAATTCAACCGGGCTCTGGATTGGGACCGGAGTCAAAAGCGATTGAAAGTTCTCAAGGGAGATCAACTCAAGATCACGCCTACTTGGTCTGGACTTACATCAGGCTTCAAAAATAGGCCCGCTGCGTAACGTAACTGCATATGTCCGAATTAATGTTTAGTTAGTGTTTTACTTCCACTTACTACCAATCTGTGGTGAGAGAATGTATTGAACTTGGCAGATTGTATCGGAATGCTGATTATTCTGGGTTTGAAAGTATAAGGGAATTGGACGTGCCAACAACTGTTCTTCTCCAGGATCCAATCCAACTCAAACAGATGGGAATGACTGATCTTGCCTTGTCTGTCAGCTATGAGGGTACTGCATGGAATATGTGTGGGGGTTAGTCTCAAGCCAGTGCCCGGTGGAAGATAATAAGGGGAAAGCAATTGGGAATGGGATAAGTGCAGATGGCTCCTGTAGGGGAGCTAGCACCAAGATCAAAGGGTCTCACTCACCTTGTTCGTTCGTGACAAGCCATCCACCCCTTTCCTGCTGCCTCATCCATGCCTTCCAACCTCTCGCTCCCTTCTCTCCAAACCGAGGCTCACCGCTGTCCCAGAACGGCTCAAAGAATTCCACCTGAATGGGGAAAGAGCACTTGAGTCCACACGAAACACAGAACTTCCCATCCCAGCCACATAATCCCAACCACACAATCCCATGTTATAGTGTTCGCGAGCAAGGGGATAACACTCAAATGTACAGTATAATGCTTCGCTGAGCAGATTATTATGCACAGTTATACCCATTTCAAGACACTGCAAATCTCTCCTACACAAACATCACGACACAGGTTTAATGTTCCTGACATCAAAGTCAACCCCCTGATAGTTTGGGAAGATTAAACACACTATTTAATGTAGCTCTTGGATGAATAATCAATCTCAGTCAGCTTCCGCTATTGAAATCTGGCCACTTTTGTACCCAGAACGACTCTTGATGTAAGCAGGATATTTCAGCCACCAACTAGTTTGAAGGGTTGGGTAGGCAAATGTGGCTAACCTGCCCTAGCTACGGCCTCCACACAGCAACCAGATGAATGATTAACAAACCTGTTTTTTGGCAACAAATAAGAATGAGAAGAATGTCTCGCTCGGATTCAAAATAGGGCAGTGAAGGAGGCCTCCGGAACCAAAGCCGGCGTTACTCTACATCTTCATTTCAAAATTCTGAATCAACAAACATACAATGCTTACAACACAAAGGTGGTCATTCAGTTCATGTCAGCGAGACACCTGGGTTCAATTCCAGGCAGGGCGAAACCATGGGCAAGTTTCCTTACTTCACACGCCTAATAATAATCCCTCCAAAAAAAACAAAACAATAATAAATTGGTCATTTTCAATCCACGACTGTTTGTGGGACGCTGCTGTGCGTAATTGGCTGCCACGTTTCGCCCACAAATATACAGTCAATTCACTTTACAGTGTGTTCTGTGAAGCGCTTTGAGAGTCGAGAAGACGTGAAAAGCGCTAAATCAAATGCAAGGATTATTATTATTATTATTATTATTGTGTCTGTGCTGGAACTACTAGTTCCTCCACTGGAGCTCTCTAGCCTAATCCCATTCCCTGCTCTCTCCCCATCGTATCTGTGCTGGTGCTCGCTCCGCATTCCCCTGCTCGGCTTCACAAACCATCTATGGTGAAGCATTACAAATATCTGTGGAACAAAAAAATCCATTTCCCCTCTTTTCTCGTCTGATGACAATCCTCAATTTATGCACTCTCGTTACTGACAGACTGGCCAGAGAAAGTCTCTCCCCGCTAGTTACCCTATCAAAACCATTTATCATTTTGAAATCTCATTAGACTGCCTCTCACCCGCCAGCCCTTAAAGCACCAAATGTTCATATCTCTCCTCATAAATATAATATCTCGTCCCTGGTCCCAATAATAAGGAGATCAATCTCGATGCAATAGTTTTGTGCAATGCAGCGGAGGGAAAAAAATGAAACCTCTCACTCTAACCTTATCTGCCCTCCACTGGCTGCTCAGAGCATAGTGGCCCATCGCTGAATACAATTACATGGGTATTACAGACCCCTCAGTTCTAATCTCTAGACACATACATTGTTTTATGGCCTCACTTTTCTTACAGTCCACGATTCTGCCTTTTGAAAGGCGTAAAAGGTAAAAATAGCTGAGATGGTAATAGCCTGGTTCAGGCGAGATACGGTGCAAAAATGTATTCATTTGTCAAGGTTACTGCGTACAGCAGCCTTAACGCAATAGCAAGCTGCTTGTGGATACTGAGCAGATTTAGTAGCTGGCTTCCCAACGCTGATAAATCAATACCTGAAACTAATTTCTAACCAGAAACTCAAGCTTGTCCCTAAGCGTCTAGTGCTTTAGTTTGCACCTGCCCTCAGACACACACATAAGAACATAAGAATTTGCTGGTGAAAGAAGACCAAGGTCCATCTATTTCACCTTCCACCAACCTCGCAGTCGCTTGACATGTCGTGACCCAAACTATACGCTGTATCCCCAGATATTATTTTCTAGCAGAAATCTATCTCATTTGTTCTTGAAACAAACAACACTTTATGCTTCCACCGTCTCCTTAGAGAGCCTGTTCCATAAGTAATATACATAATAATAATAATCCTTGAATTTGATACAGCGCTTTTCACGTCTTTGAGACGTCTCAAAGCGCTTCACAGAATATGTTGTAAAGTGAATTGACTGTACATTTGTGGGTGAAAAAACTACTCACTCACTAGAGTAGTATCTCCACAGATCTGTTCTGAATTTACCCCCTTCAATCGCAGGCCGTGTCCCCTGGTTCTACTGTTCAGTACAAGGTAAGACCCAACACAAATTCAGTGTTGGTCGAATTCACCAAATAAACAATTCAAGGCTCAATGGTTACAGCAAGTTTTTTTCCCCTCCCGTAAACCATCATTTGCTCAGTGAGTAAACGCACCGTCAAACACTTAACTGGAAAGCTCCAGGTTTGAGCTCTGCCCTGAGTTAGCTGATCTCAGCAGAGGTCTGTCAGCAGGAGAGATGTTACAAGCTGGTGATAGGTTTGGATGAAGGCCGCCCGCGGCTTCATTCAATCTCATCCCTCCAGAACATCAAAAAGGGCTTCCCACAAAATACACAGTCGATTCACTTTACAGTGAAGTGCTCTGAGGCGTCTCAAAGCCATGATAAGGCTCTATATCAAATGCAAAGATCATTGTTATTAGTGTCAAGTTATTATTAAACAACACTGTGTAGCGCTCCGGGACGCTACCCACGTGAAGGGCGCTATACAAATGCAAATTGTTGTTGTTGACTCCCAAGGCGCCGGCCTCAAGCATCGTTTCTGCCCCCCCCCCCCTCCCCCGTTAGGTTGCCGATTCTCATCTCTACAAAGGAATATTTTCCTGGTGTCTGCCCTAAAATTGGTGTTACAAACCTCTGTCCTGCTGCCTTAGGAGGTTCTTGGAGGTCCTGCTCTGGGTTTACATAATAATAATCCTTGTATTTGATACAGCACCTTATCACGTCGTTGAGACATCTCAAAGCGCTTCACAGAATACACTGTGAAGTGGATTGACTGAGTATTTTGTGGGTAAAACATGGCAGCCAATTGCGCACAGCAATGTCCCACAAACAGTTATGTTTTACTTTTTACTTTCTCATTCCCATACAGAATCTTATTTATAGTGCATTTAGCTTCGATACACTATGGTGGTGTTGGGGCTGGGGCAGGGGAGGAGGGAGAGACGAAAAAGAAATCTGTCACAGTTCCTGTTTGACACGGCTGTTCAGCTCATTCCATGGGATATGACGCATGTCTCGAGAGGGCCAGTAAATACGGAGACAAAGTTTGTATTTATCACACTCTGTACTTCATGTTAAGCAAGTACTTCAAATTGGCATAATAGGTGTAATCAGTCACTCACTAGCTTTATCTATTCCCCCTTCCATGTCCTGTTCCCCCACTTTCCCTCCAGTGCCTCATCGATTCTCGTCACCAATCATTCATGTAACAGTCAGAAACTTGTAATAAAATTTAGGGGAAAAAGAGGAAAGTTTCTTTATGTGAAGCCCTAATGTTTGCTGCGGAGCTTGGCTCAGTCGGTAGCACCTTTGCCTCTGAGTGGGAATGTTATGGGATCAAATCTCACATCAGGCTGTCACTCCTGTGCAGTACTGACTCTGCATTTGATGGTGGTGTTGAATTTCAAATGAAATGTTAAACCAACTGTCTGGCTGTTCAGATGGTCGGTCAGATCCCATCACACCATCCCAAATGAGTTGGCTGTTTCGTCTCTTCCCCCCCCCCCCCCCCCAATCCCCACCTCCCACCCCCAGCCCAACACAGCTGCGTGCAGGAACTTGCTGTGCACAACACTGCTGCCACGTTTGCCTATGTGGAGTTTCTGTAGCGAAGTTGATAAGAGTGCTCGCCTTGCAAGAGAGGACCCGGGTTTGATTTCTGGGTGGGGTAAAACCTTAGGCAAGTTTCCTTACTCTCCTCATGCCTCTGTTTCCTAACAGTCAGTAGGATCCCAGTTGTTAAGTTGATTGGCGGATCGCTTTCTGAGGGTAAGAATTCCTCCAAAAAACACTGCTGTGTGCAATTGGCTGCTGCATTTCGCCCATAAAATACAGTCCATCTACTTTTCAATATATTCTGTGAAGCGCTTTGTGACATTAACGATGTGATGAGGTGCTATTATCAAATGTAAGTATTATTATTATTGTTAAAAAAAGTGACTTCATTTGACAGTGATGATACGTGAAATGCTTGGCAGATCAGGGTAATAAGATGCTAACGAAAGTTTTTCATTTTCTCTCTCTCTCTCTCTCTCTCTCTCAGAGTACTCTGCTCAAACAAGCTGCCTCCAGACAGCACAGCAACAATTAAACCCGCACCACGTACACTGGCTGTGTTAATGCAGTCTTTGTTTGGAACTAAGGTTGTGCTCATCACGTGCCGAGAATGCTTGAAAAGAATCCGCTGCTTCAGTGCAAGTTCATTCAAGATCAACTCTTGTCATCACTCCAAAGACCTAAGTGGTCGCTGACAGGACTGACAGCAGAACATGTCGGCTGTTTGCTTAACGGCTGGGGGGAGTGGAAGTGCTGACAGCTATTAAGACCCTCAGATACAAGTCAATTTTGGGCATGTGTATCACTGGTTCAGCCACTGTAACTGGCACGCTCAGGGGGGNTCCTGCAGCCCATTTCCCCATTGGAGCACTCGCAAGGATCAAGTTTTGAGGAATTTATTATAATAATAACAATAACCACCCTTGCATTTGAAAAAGCGGCTTATCGAGTCGGTGAGACGTCTCAAAGCGCTTCACAGAACATACTGTAAAGTGGATCGACTGTATTTTGTGGAGGAAACGCGGCAGCCAATTGCGCACAGCAGCGTCCCACAAGCAGTCGTGGATTGAGTGACCACATTTTTAAAAAAATTGGGCGGGCAGGAGGAGTGGGGGGAGATTATTACTCTGAAAAGAGATCCGTTATCAACTAACAATAGGGTTCCTACTTACTGCTAGGTGAACAGAGGCGTGTGGAGTAAGGAAACTTCCCTAAGGTTTTGCACCGTCTGGGAATCAAACCCTGGTC